CATGCCAGGTGGGCATTGTGCCCCGTTTGTGATTCCAGCCTTGGAAGGTAAAGACGGATCCTTGGCAGGCAGTGATGGCACACGCCTTTAATCCCAGCACTCGAGAGGCAGAGGACAGCAGATCTCTGTGAGTTCGAGGTCTACAAGAGCTAGTTCCACACGGTAGGCTCCAAAGCTTCAGAGAAATCCTGTCTCAAAAAAACAAAAAAGAAAGAAAAGACGTATCCTCATAGGAAGCTGGCTAGTGAGACGGGTCCTATCAACAGATTCTGGGGTTTGATTGAGAGAAACCCCACCGCAGTGAATTAGGTGGAAGAGCGACCAAGGAGAATTCCTGTCTTTGGTCTTGGGCCTTCACATGAATATACAGTGCTGCTTATGTACCCACATGTGCAGATACCACACTCCTGTGCACACCATACACATGAAAGCATGCAAAAATGGACAAAGAGAAAATTGAAGGATATACATAGAAGAAATTTAGAAACTAAGGTAGTGTTTCATTTTGGATTGGGCCAACGAGCTTGAACATGAGGGCTGGAAGTAAAGATCTGGATCTGATACACAGGGTTTGTGAGATTTTTTTTCATTATTGCTGCTTAGTATCATTGTGATATTATACTGTTAATTAGCAGTAAAACACCATTTTTCCACTTGACTAAAAGATGACATTTGAATGGTTAAATGCATAAAATATACAGCTTAGTACTTTTTGTTTATTTTTTGAGATAAGGTCTTACTCTATAACCATGGCTGTCCTGGAACTCATTGTGTAGACCAAGCTAGCCTCGAACTTGCATGACACTCCTGAGTTTGTATCATGATTACATCCATGAGCCACCATACCTGGCTAGTGATTTTTAAAAGAATTTGTATTTATTTGTTTTATGTAGTGTGTGGTGTGGTTATATGCATTCCACAATGTATATGTGAAAATCAGACAACTTGCTGGTAAGTTCTCTCCTACTGTGTAGGTTTTAGGGATTAAAGTCATATTGTCAGGCTTTGTGGCAAGGGCCTAACCCTGAGCACTCTATAATACTTTTCTGTCTTCCACATTACTAGATCCCTTAAGAAATGGATTCTTTTTTTTCCAAATCGGGAGTGATCCCATCTGTAGGAGACTGCTCTTTCATTTTCTGGCCTCCCAGGCATGAATAATCACACAGAAACTGTATTAATTACAACACGGTTTGGCCTGTTAGCTCACAATTCTTATAACTAACTTTTACAACTTAAATTAATCCATTTCCATTAATCTCTGTGTTGCCACAAGAATGTGGCTTACTGGGTAAAGTTCTGTTCTGGTGTCTTTCTCCTTCAGCAGCTACGTCGCATCTCTTTGACTCCACATACTCTCTCTCTATATATATATCTCTGTCCAAATTTCCTGCCTGGCTTTGCTTTGCTAAGCCATTGGCCAAAACAGCTTTATTCATTATCCAGTAAAAGAAACACATATACAGGACATCCCATATCCCCTATCTCTGGACATACCTATTTGTTTTCAAAGATTTACTAATTTTTATTTTGTATATGAATTTTTGCCTAGAGTTCTGTCTATGTTTGTACGATGTGAGTTCCTTGTGCTTGCAGAGGCCAGAAGAGGGTATCAGATACCCTGGAATGGTTGTGAGCCACCATGTGGGTACTTGGGAACAAACCCAGATCCTCTACGAAACAGCAAGTGTTCTAACCACTGAGAAATCACTCTACCCCTTAGTTTTGTTTCTGTTGTTTTTAAATTATGCCTTTGGGAGATAGTTTTCACAGGACTGCTAACCGTATTAATAAAGTATCTCTGTCTCTTTCTTTGTTTACCAGTAAACAAATAGAGCAGTAAAAATGCCTGATCCAGATGTTTACTGGAGGTAAAGAAATCCTTTGAAATTTATATAAACTATATCAAGTATATATAAATATATATAATTGAAAGAATATTTATGAAGAATCCCCCCATATCATAGCTCTCATCATCATTTATGCCCCTGTAAAGCTTAAGCAGGCATGGGCAGCCTGTTTCTGGTGGTTCTCCAGTTGTTCCAATCCTGGGCAGTCCTAGATACTTGTGTTATTGTCACCAAGGTTCCACAGTCTTCCTTTATGCTGTCTGTCCAGAGTCTTTAGGGCCTTCCTCTTTACCTTATCCTCCAAGCAATGCTATCTTTGGGTATTTGACATCGTTCATTTTCATAACATGGCCAAAGTATCTCAAGCACTGTTGCTGTATCCTGTAGTTTATTTCCTTCTGTAGATGGAGATGTTTCTTAATGTCATCATTGCTGCTTAGCCTGTCTCTTTGTGTGATGCCTAGAATTCTCCTGAGACTCTAGCTGGCCTCAAACTCAGTTCACTTGACTCTGATTCCTGAGTGCTGAAATTAAGCCAAGAAATAAAAGATACCTAGATACCCTAGATAACCCCATGTGTCTTTCTTGAATGAATCCCCTCCCTGATGATCTCTCCCTTGCTAAAATAACCACTGCCCTAGATTTTATATTAATCATTACCTTTCTTAATACTTATTTATGTAGATATATCTACAAATATAAAGGTTGAATTTTCTTTGTCTTTAAATGCTTAGGACCAGAAGTATTTGAGATTTTGAGCTTTTGGGTTTTGAGATATGTATATAGTTTACAGATCATGCATCCCTAATCTAGAAATCTGAAGTGCTTCCAACACTGAAACTTCAAGTTTCAGCATAATAAAATTTTCAGATTGGGGATGCTTAAGCTTTCAGTGTCTAAAACTGTATATAACAGGGCTGAAGAAATGTCTTAGAGGTTAAGATCACAGGCTACTCTTCCAGAGAACCCAGGTTTGATTCCCAGCACCCACATGGCAACTTACAACCATCTGTAACTCAGTTCCAGGAGATATAACACCAGGCACACACAGATACAAATGTAGGCACAACACCCATACACATAAAATATAAATAAATCTTTAAATAAATAGTTTGTGGCTGGAGAAATGGCTCAGTGGTTAAGAGCACCAACTGTTCTTCCAAAGGACCCAGGTTCAGTTCCTAACACCCACATGGCAGCTCATAACTGTCTGTAACTCCAGTTCCAGGGGATCCGGCACCCTTACACAGACATATGTGCAGGCAAAACACTAATGCTCATAAAATAAAAATAAATGAATTAAAAAATAGTTGTATATAAGCTGAGGAAGGAGGATTATGAGTTTGAAGCCAGCCTGAGCTACATATAATAAGAGTTTGTATATACATATGTGTTTGTATGTATTCATAAATAGTAATAGCATATGAATATAGACCATTCTTTCTGTATGAGTTCCTCATTCAAACACTCAGCCAATACAGTTAGAAAATACTTGGGGCCAGGCAGTGGTAGTGTATGCCTTTAATCTCAGCACTCAGGGGGCAGAGCCAGGCTGGTCTACAGAGTGAATTCCAGAATAGCCAAGGCTACACTGAGAAACCCTGTCTCGAAAAACCAAATTTAAAAAAAAAAAAATAAGAGAAAGGAAGAAAATACTTGGGGTCAGAGGAAATAGGTAGGGCTCTAACTTAGTCATAGAATTCTTGCCTGCCTACCATGCATCAGGCACTAGGTCCTACTCTCTGTGCTAAATATTGATGCATGCATGATTGCATCATGTTTCCCATCACTTGAGATTAGAGGCAGAGTTAGAAGTTCAAGGTCACTCTCAGGTTCATAGTATCTTCAGCTCCAACCAGGACTACATGAAAATCTATTCTAAACAAAAATATCTTGATCTGGTGAGAAGACTCGGTGTGTAAAATTTCTTGCTGCCAAGCCTGACCACCAAGTCCAATCCCCAGGATCCACATGGTAGAAGGAGATAACCAATTCTCACAGGTTGTCCTCTGACCTTCCCATATGTGTCTGTATGTACATAGATATACAAACAAATAAATAATAAAATTTTAAAATTAAAAAAAACTTTCTGGGCCAAGTGGTGTTTGTACGTGTGTATTTATATATGTATATACATACATACATATATAATTTTAGAATAGGTTGTATGCAAATTCTGTACCACTTTGTACTGAGCCTCCTTGGATTTTGGTTTCCTTGATAATTTTGGAGCCAGTCTTCTGCAGATACCAAGGGATGAAGGTACTCTTTTATGATTTGCTTCTCTCAACAAAGATTAGATATTTGTAACTTAGCTTGGTTGAGTATGTCGCTAAAAATGTCATAACCTATTTTATTGTCAGTGGATATTTATTTCTGCATTTTCTTCTGTTGAAAACATTACTGCATGCTGGGCATGCCTTTAATCCCAGCACGTGATCCTTTGTGAGTTCAAGGCCAGCCTGGTCTAGTAGAGGAAACCCTGTATAAGGGGGAGAGAGACTGAGACTGAAAGGGGGGGCAGAGACTATAATATCAAATAGATACTTTTGTATATGTATAAAAGATCCTTTAGAGCATACACCTAGAAATATGTACTTGAAGTTTGTATGATGAGTTTGTATTCAAATGTTCCAAGTAAGGGCAAACTTTCTTCAAGTCGTTGTACCAATTTTCTCTCCCACTATGAGTGGAGAGTTGCCATGCTTCTCGTCTCTGCTAACACTCCATGCTGCTGGGCTTTGCCATTTTACCCAATCTGGCAGTTGTGAAATGGTATCTTTTTGTGTTTTTAATTTGCATTTTTCTGACTGACATGAAATTAAGCAGTTTTTCATGTGTTTAAGGAAAATTCACGTCTTCTCTTCAGTGACACTCCCACCCAGTAGTTTTGCAGGGTTTTCATGGGCTGGTATTTTCTCATTGACTCTTAGATAATCTGTTATGTTCCTGATGCTAATCACTTGTCACAGTTGTGGGAGTTGCTTATCAACACTTTTCCTTTTTCATCCTGAGCACACCTGGAAAACAAAAGTCTCACTACTGTTCTAGACACCGTAGTGACATGGCCTTGTGGGTGTGCACAGAGCAGGGCCTGTAAGTCTCATCATAGTACTGACTACTGCTGACCCGTGGTGCTTGCCTTTGCAGGTGGAACAGGAGGATTTTGTAATGGAAGGGCATGGCAAGACTCCACCTCCTGGAGAAGAAAACAAACAGTGAGTCACAGTTTATTAAAAGGGTCCTATCACAGATCCTCAGAAGCCCTTGGTTCAGTGTGCCGAGAGCAAGTTTGCCGGGCTATGTATATGTCGGAGATACAGTAGAGCATACCAGTCGCTTTGTTGGTACATTGCTTCTATTTATAGACCAACTAGAGGGACGAGAAAGTTGGCTTTGTTGTTTTTCACACTTGGCTAATCAAAATTTATGTTATGCTTGAGTAAAAGCTTTAAGGCTCAGGATGTTCCAAATTGAACTAATTAAGTTTGGGTGTTTTCCAAAGAAAGTATGAAATGGTGCTTCCTTTCCTTAGCAATGTCTTCATGAAGGAGGCTCAATTAATGGGCTGCCTGCACACCAAGTGTGTGCATAGTACTTCCTGAAATTCAATTCCAGTGGTAATTGAAACATCTATCATTATTTAACATTATAACAAAGTTTTTATCTACTGGAACAGGGTCTGTAAATACCATAACTTAGCCAACATTCTCAGTAGTTCGGGATTTATCTCCTCAAACTTCTGAAAAGGTGACTGGTTTTAAACTTCCATTTGGCACCTTTGGTGTGGCTTTTTAGTGGGGATGAATAGATTTTATTTTCCCTCATCTGTTGTAGGATTTAGAAAATTGTGTTTCAAAGTAGACCAGTTCTTTTCATATGCCCTTTTAAAGGAAAAACTCTTAAGACAGGCTTGAAGCACTGACCTAACTCCAAGTTTTATTTAGACAGTAGTTTCCTAAATTGAATGGGAGGGTGATTCATAGGATTTACCAAAAGTCTCTAAAGAAAAACTCCTCTTCTTTGTCTTTCTCCCTCTTTTTTATTTCCTAGAAAATATTTTGGTGTATCTTGAGAAAATGATGTTTCCTAAACCCTTAGGAATGAATTATGCAGACTAGACTGTGCTCCAGGAGGCCAGACTCATTAGAGGAGAGTGCCTTGTCTTGTGTTTGTTGTGAATGGAAACCAGGAGATCTTCGCAGCCGTTTAATTTGCTAAGCTGGCAGTTTTAAAAATAGCTCACAGTATAAATCCTAACTTTACTCTGATCTGTCTAATGCACTTTCATTTTAGATGGGTTGATGGCATCCACTCCTCTCTAGGGAATTAGAATGCAGACATCTATTTGGTCTCAGTGAAAAGGCAGGAGAAGTACTTCAGGCAGTTTTCTCCATGACCTCCACCCACTCTCCTACCCCACAATCTTATACTATAAAAATCACAGTTGCATTTGTCAAGGGATTTCTGTATTTAAGGTAGGTACATGTCTAGGTCATGGGGTTGTGTTTTTTTTTAAGATTTACTTATTTTTATTTTATGTGTATGGATGTTTTGCCTGCATGTACATCTGTGCAATACATGCATACCAGTTTCCGATGGCTGCAGAAGAAGGCATCAGAGCCCTTGGAATTGGAGTTACAGATGGTTGTAAGCTGCTTTGTGAATGCTGGAGATCAAACCTTGATCTTTTTATCACTGAGCCATCTCCTCAGCCCCAGTGCCATGTCCACTTGTAGCATTTTGTCTCCATTACTCAGAGATCAGCCCATGCCCATACAACTTAAAGTAGAGTTTAAGATTTGATCCCTGGTCTTGCTGATTTTAAGGTGCTTATAGTGTTATTCTCTCCTTTCTTTTGCTCTCCCTGAAGCAGTGCTCCTGAAAGGAACTATGGTTTACACAGTAACAGAAGTCAAGAGTCTCTAGAATAATAGGAAGTTGGGGAAAACAATGAAAGGGCTTTAAGGATATTTCCTAGACACCAATGAAAGTTCTGCTCTTTAGAGGGCTCCCATTTCCTAAACAAACCTGTCTTTATCTTCAGAGGCCCTCTCTGGTAACACCTGCCCTGAGTTGGCTTCTTCCAGAACTCGGGAATCCTTCAGGGCCCTGAGGGAGGGGGAGGAAACGGGGGGGGGGGGGGCGGGGGGGGGGCGGGATGGACAGTTTCTACACAAGTGTGTTCTGCTTTTACAGAGTTTCATAAATTAGAGTATCTTGTGTGATAGCTTTACCATTCTCTAGAAGCCCCCTAAACCCTGAGGTTTTGTTGTAGTTTGATTTGGCACTAAGGATGAAATCAAGGCCCTTGCAACTTGCTAGATAAGCACTAACATATAGTCCCAGCCCTCTTTTGTTTTGTTTTTGTTCGTTCATTCATTAGTTGATTCATTCATTCTGGGTCTGCTCTGTTATCCTATATTGAAGTAATTAGGAAGAAATATATCTTTTCTTTCTGAAAATCTGTTTACTCTCTGTGAGAATCAGGAGCAAATAAGTTTTCATTTGTTTGTTTGTTTTATAGTCTCTGTCTTGTAGTCCCCTGTCATGTGTGTGTGTGTGTGTGTGTGTGTGTGTGTGTGTCTGTCCATCCCGTGATACTGGTGATTGGACCCAGATAAATGTTCTGCCACTGTGGTTTATACCCAGCTCCTAGACAGAATCTAACTTAATGTTTTCCCCTCATTTATTGGATAAAACACCTTTTGTTACTTATGGAAGAAGGGCAGATGAAGCACAAGAGTTATAAAATTTACTCAAGATTACAGAGAAAATGCTTGTAAGGATGAGGACTAAATTTACTGGTCTATTTGTTTCCCATTTAATTTATTGACAACAATTACTCAACACAGCATTATATTCTGTGATGCGTGTTTCAATACAGCTAGGATTTATTAACAGGAAGACTTAGGTTTCTGTACACTGTTAAGAAAAATGGACTCTGGTGCTGGGATTTTAGCTTAGTGGTAGGTTGCTTGCCTATTGTGTATAAGATCCTGGGTGTGAGTTCCCCATGGCTGCAAGAAAGGAAAAAAGATGGACTTTGTTGAATATGATGATTTATGTCTCTAATCCTAACACTTAGGAGATGGAGTCAGGATAATCATTCAGGGTTACCTTCAGCTACATAGTGAAGGTCTAGGTTAGCCTGGGTTATTTAAAATCTTGTCTGAAAACAACAACAAAACACCCCAAACACCTGCAAACAAACAAAACAAAATTAAGAAAAGACTTCTGGGGGCTGGAGAGATGGCTCAGTGGTTAAGAGCATTGCCTGCTCTTCCAAAGGTCCTGAGTTCAATTCCCAGCAACCACATGATGGTTCATAACCATCTGTAGTGAGGTCTGGTGCCCTCTTCAGGCCTTCAGGCATACACACAGACAGAACATTGTATACATAATAAATAAATATTTAAAAAAAAGAAAAGACTTCTGATATTGAGGAATTTCTGTGCTAAACTATTAATATTAGTTTATTAAATATCTATAAATTATTAGTTTATTGTTAAATATTTATAACTATATAAATATTTAGATTAATAAATACTATATATATTCCAATACTGCTTTTTAAAAGATTTGTTTCACTTTTATTTATATGTATATCTGCATGTTGGTATGCCACATGTCTGTGGATATTTAGAAGACAGGAAAGAATGTCATAGTCCCAGGAACCAGATTAGAGGTGGTTATGAGCTACCTAATGTAGGTGCTAGGAATCAAACTCAAGTCCTTTAGAAAAGCAGCAAATGTTCTTACCCACTGAGCTCTCTCTCTATCTCTTTTCAGTGGAGTTTTGTTATTAGTATGTCTAGTATGATAGTTTTTTTTAATAATATCCACTTTAAGCAAGTTACCATAGCAGATCAGATAAGCCAAGTTTATTGCTTTAATTGCTACATTGAAGTTACACAACTTTAGTTGCACAATATGTTTAATGGTTGAGTAAAAGTAAAAACCAAGGGGGCTGGAGAGATGGCTTAGTGGTTAAGAGCACTGGCTACTCTTCCAGAGATGCTGAGTTCAGTTCCCAGCAACCACATAGTGGCTCATAACCATCTATAGTGGCATTTGATTCTCTATTTTTGCATAAAGTTGTACATGTAGTTAAAGCACTCATATACCTAATAAAAATAGAAATAATAAATAAAAGCTGTGATGCTTTGTTTTTTGTTTTGTATTTTGTTTTAATTTTTGAGACAGGGTTTCTCTGTGTATCCTGGCTGTCCTGGAACTCACTCTGTAGACCAGGCTGGCCTCGAACTCAGGACCCCTCACACCCGCCCTGTCTCTGCTGGGATTAAAGACATGCACCACTATTCCTTGCGTGATGGCTTTTCAAAGTAGCAGATAGATACTTGTTTATATACTGTGCTGTACCATGTGTAGTAGTTACTTTTCCTACTATTGTGATCAAATACCTGTCAGAAGCAATTTAAGGAAGGAAGGGTTTATTTAGGCTCATAGTGTGAGGGAATCCGTCATGGTGTGTGTGTGTGGGGGGGGAGTGTGATCAGACTAAAGATCCCTAGGCTGGCCGTAAGCACACTAGTAGAGCACTTGTCTCGCACACACAGGGTCCTCAGCTCAGTCTCCAGTATGGCAAAGGGAGAAAAAAAATTTTTTTTTGCTGTGGTATTCCTTGTTTTATATTTGGCCACTATATTTAACACTTTGCCTTTTTGTTTTCTTTCTTTTGTTTGCTGCTGCTGCTTTTATTTTTTTTACCTTTTACCTACTGGGCTCCTTCACAGGACTCATAAATATGTTTTTATGAGTTGTTCTGTGTTATAAGATAAATCCATTCATAAGCTGATAAGATACTTTTTTGTTGTTAGAGACAGGACCATCTGTATCCCAGAATGGTTGTGAACACAGCATATACTTGAGGATGACCTAGAGATTGAACCTAGGGCCTCACACATGTTAGCGATGCACTCTGTCACTGAACATGTTACTGCAGTTTTTTACCTTTTAAATATTGAGTCAAGGACTCACTAAATTGCAAATGTGCCCATCTTCAGAACTAACTAACCATGTAGTCCAGGATGGCCTTGAATTTGTGATCCTCCAGCCTCAGTCTCTGGAGTAGCTTCAATCCAGGTCTGTGCAGACCCAGCAACACTGCCTTTTAGAATTACTGTTTTGATGGTTGTTTAAAAGCCTTGAACAACTCTATGGCATCTCCTAGATAAACAATGAAAATATTCCCAAA